ATGAGGGCTGCATCAGGGTTGTGTTTGACCTCAGGGGGCCGGGGTGGATGTGGCCAGCTCGACATCACTCGTACCAGGGGTTCCTCTGGTGGCCTGAGTGCTCTGCCAGCGAAAATGGAGCTTGGGAGGGCGACGTATGGACCTCCTGAGCTCTGTTTTCGCTGGCAGAGGCACTGCAGGCCGATCCTGTGCTGTTCCCAGGGCAGCCCCGCAGACCTTGAGTTTGACACCCCTGACCTAGTGGCATGGAGGCTGAGGCACAAGCAGAATTCTCCCAACACATTTCTGGAAACAAACTTTTAGAAAGGAGCTGAGTCACCAGAAATAATGTGCTTCGCATTCTCAGATCAGAATGCCTGTCCGGAAAGATATAGAAATGTAGAGTGGGAAGCGGTTCAAACTACCACTTACTTCAGGAATCTGAATTAAAGCATCCCTGACAAAAGGCTGTCCAGTTACATCAGAAGCTGCCAAAGAGTCCCACCGAATTAAGCTTGCTATCCCTATCCCATCTTGGTAGAGCACTACAAGTCTGTCCGAATCTAAACAGGCCAGAAACAAGTATCAGATGACTATTATGAGCGCACAGAGGCATAATTAATTGCATTTCTATCTTGCTTTTCGCTATTTAAAAGCAGACCCAAATACGGTACAAGAGCTAACATTGAAATAGCTTCACAACTTTTAACAGGAGACAGGTTCTGATGGAAAAACAGCACAAGCATTTCAGCAGTGCAACTAGTTATTGAAGAAAATGAAGAGCCCCCCCCCCCGCCCCCCCAGCTGACTATGTTTAATTAGAGACCGGATAGTCATCTGTTGGCGATGCTTTGATTTGGATTTCTGCGCTGAGCAGAGTTGGAATGGGTCTCCTCCACATTTTTGATTCTGACTTGCCCAAGCAGATAGTACTTGGCAATTCTTAGGGTTACGGTGAGTTTCCTGAAAGGCAAATTCTCAGTTACCTCTTGGAACTTCTCACTCTACTAAATAATTTGATTTAGTTGCAGCTGGGCAGTCGGTTCAGCCCAGCTGACCAAGGATTGTAGAAGAAGCTAACAGACCTCATTCCTTCATGCCCCGTCTCCCTGTCTTTATGCTGCTATTCCTGGATTTCATCCCAAATTCAGCATTAGAGCACATTGTGGACATATTTGTGGATGGAATTTAGGTGTGGGTTGTACTGAATGGTCTGTAAGCTGAAGGCTCTGAATACAGGTAGTTCTCAACTTACATCCACAAATGAGCCCAACATTTCTGTTGCTAAGTGAGATAATTGTTAAGTGAATTTTGCCCCATTTTACAACCTTTCTTCCCACAGTTGTTAACTGAATCACTATAGTTGTTGATTGAATAACATGGCTCTTAAGTAAACCTGGCTTCCCCATTGACTTTGCTTGTCAAAAGGTTGCACCATGATCCAGGACACTGCAACCATCATAAATATGAGTCAGTAACTAAGGACCTGAATTTTGATCATGTGACCATGGGGATGCTTCAACAGCCATGACTGTAAAAAAAACCTGTCATAAGTCACTTTTTTTCAGTGCTATTGTAACTTTGAGCGGTCACTAAACAAACTGTTGTAAGTTGAAGGCCATCTGAAATGCTAAACTATAAACATTGGGATACTGCGGAACAGACATAGGAACGGCTTAAGATCTGAAAGAGGATCAAAGTCTGCCTGCTTCTGACTCCATCTGTGTGATCACAATCCAATTGTGCTGATTCTAAGCTCGCATGAGTAGAGTAAACCTTTGCTCAATATCAGGATTCTGTCTTTCCCCTGAATATCACCAAACTCTCTTTATCTGTACTTCCTGGAGCACGGGTGTCAAACCCACGGTGTCACATTGTCATCACGTGACATATCATGATGTTTTCCCCCTCCGCGGTGGGCGTGGCCTACGCATGACGCATCTGGCCCACAGGCCACCAGTTTGACACCCCTCTCCTAGAGCATTCACGCCTCTAACTTGGATAATAGGAGCATTGATTTGGAAAACATCTTTCCCTGCCTTGCTCCAGATGTTTCTGATTTTGGGCTTGCGCTAGCTTGACACGAGCTGATCTATTTTAACCAGCCATATCTCTAGAGTATATGGGTACTAGAAAGTCTCTAATTTAGAGACTCTGCCTCCCCAATTTGCCACTTTTTAATTGCTTTCCAAATTCTCCCCGAGTTAAACTGTGTCTTTAAAAAATTAAATCTAATGTAAGATTAATATTTTAATAGTGCTAATAATGAGGAGGGGAGGTGAAAGACTGCAAGCCTAGCCTAAAAACCACAAATGAGAAAGCAGTGTAGTTATAAACTATGCATGTGCTACGAGGACAAACAATAAGCAGATCTGCTTTTTTTTTTTTTTCCTTTTGGCCTTGCACGATGGAGGCAATAATGTAGGAAGCCCTTGGTGAGCAAAGTAACACAATGCAGCACACCCTGCCTTTCTCTCCTCAACATAACCCAGTGCCGTTCTTCTGTAAACTCTGGCACTGGACTGACATGTTACAAAGTGCCCAGGCTTGCATTTACTGTGTTAAGAGAGGTACAATGGGCTTATTATGTGTTTCCAGCAACTGAGGGTGGTCTGTAAAATTAATGATTGTGGCAGCTGCAAATTAAGTGAGCTCCCTAATATGTACTGTTGTTGATCCACCAAGATCCGTGTGTTTAAAATTCCTTGGTGGGAGACTAAATCTTCATAGCCATTTCACAAGTGATGCTGGCGCCCAACTGCAGCAATGTACGCAGGTCTTGTTTTATGAGACCTCCTTGGATACCAGGGTTTTCCTGCTTTGATTGGCAGTTGCGTAACCAACTCAGCATCTCTGCTAAATGTTCTGTAGCTTTATGTGGCAGGTGCATCGTGGAGCTTCTTTAGGGATACTTCACCACGTTAGACTGTTTAGATGTACGGGGAGTCCTCTACTTGACAACCATTTGTTTAGTGACTGTTCAAAGTTACAACGGCGCTGAAAAAAAAGTGACATAACCATTTTTCACACACTTATGGCCGTTGCAACATCCCCGTGGTCATTGAATCAGAATTCAGAAGCTTGGCAACTGGCGTGTATTTATGACGGTTGTGGAGTCCCGAGGTCCTGTGATCACCTTTTGCGACCTTCTGACAAGCAAAGTCAATGGGGAAAACCAGATGCCCTTAACAGCTGTGCTACTAACTTAACAGCTGCAGGGATTCATTTAATAACTGTGGCAAGAAAGGTTGTAAAAACGGGGCAAGACTTGCTTAATAACTGTCTCTCTTAGCAGCAGAAATTCGGAGCTCAGTTGGGGTCGTAGAATAAATCAAGGACTACTTGTACTGCTTCTGAGGGTCTGGTGGAGATCTTCAACATATATAGATGGCTGTGTATTTTGCAGCAGTCTGTGCATGGAAAATAGAGGCCAATTTGCATCTACCTCAGTGTATTCTCCTATTAAATCTTACTTCACAAGGCCTTCTCACAACCATTCATGTTTCCAGAAAGTTTCCCTGTAGCAGAATTCTGATCATTGCCTACTTTATCTGGGATGTCTACACGTTAGAGCAGGGGTGTCAAACTTGTGGCGTCACATCATCATGTGACGTATCAGGACTTTTTCTCCCTTTGCTAAACCGGGGGGTGGGGGTGGCCAGCGTATGACGCATCTGGCCCGTGGGCCGCGACTTTGACACCCCTGCGTTAGAGCATAATTTGGGGACAGCTGATCTGTGGCAAATTTATCAACTTCGGTAGCTGCCATCGGCATTAGAGAACTCAGAAGTTGTATAGGTCATTTTCCAGGTAGCAGCCTAGATTGGAAGAGTTTCCCCCAAAGAAATCTTAGTAAGCTTCATTAAGTTTATATATGGTTAAATTAGGCCTGGAAAGCTCTGCTTCTATTTTTTGTATGCTTTCTATGTAAAGGGAGCAGGCTGTATGAGGTTGAGGTAGAGCCTCAATCTCATTCAAAATATACAAAACTACCAAAATAAGTAGAGCTATTTTGGAAATGGCTGTTACGCTCTGAAAATAAACTCTCTCGTTGTAGAGCTTAAAAGTTCTTCCTTTCTACTCCGAAACATTATTTCTTAGAGAAGCTTGGGAGTAGTATGAATGTTGAAGAACAATCGTCCTATTGACTTCCAAAAGACAAAAAGAAGACAAAATATGTTCGGGTACCACACATTAAGACTGGTCTAAGGCAGGAGTGTCAAACTCAATTTCATTGAGGGCCACATCAGGGTTGTGTTTGAACTTGGGAGGCCAGGGTGGGCGTGGCTAGCTCGACATCACTGGTGTCGGGGTGCCTGTGGTGGCCCAAGAAACCGAACTCTGCCAGAGAAAACAAGCTCTGTTTTCAGCTGCGACAGCTTCCTGCAACCCTCTGCTAGTGAAAATGGAGCTCGGGAGGGCTGCCTGAGGCCCTCCTGAGCTCCATTTTCACTGGCAGAGGCACCGTGGGCCAGTCCTTTGCTGTTTCCAGAGCGGCCCTGCTGCCCAGATCTAAGAGGGATCCGGGCCCCAGGCCTTGAGTTTGACACCCCTGGTCTAAGGCATCTGTGGCCCTTCCAGGCATTGCTGAATTGCAGCTCCCAGAATCCCTGAATTTGGAGGCAAGCCAATTGAGGTTTGAAGGGAAACCATTTGTCTGCTTCTGTACTGCAGAACTTAAATAGCCAGTTACGAAAGTGTAACATTTAGAGTTCTTAGTCCATTACTACTAGTTTTAGGAGAGCTTGTGCTTTTCTGTTTTTGTTAAAAAGTGTAGAAGATTTGTAACTATATCTCAAAAGATTGGCTTTGCTGGAGGGAATGTGGTCTGACAACATATGCACATCACTTTTTCATTTGTTTTCATTTGTGTGCATTTCCGTGTGCGTGTGCGTGTGCCTGGCCTCATATTTGCCTTTGCCAAAGCACTTACCGTTGGCTTTTAACAAGTGTAGCTTCACCAGTAAGCTTGTTTCCCTGGACAATGAAACCAATCCCAACTTTGCATTTCTCTCCCTTAGATCCTGTTTCAGCTCTAGATCTGGGGCAGCAGCTCCAGCTGAAAGTCCAGCGCATGCACGATATTGAAACTGAGAACCAGAAACTTAGGGAAACCCTTGAGGAATACAACAAAGAATTTACAGAAGTGAAGAATCAAGGTAAGCTGAGATGTGTACCAGGGAAGACCCTTTCCAATCAGTTGCAAGCCCCAAAACTTTCCTCCATGTCAAGAACATATTGTTCTGAAATGTTCTGTTAACTAGTTTTAATTAGTTTAATACTTAGCGAAGAACAACTAAAACCCAAAATTCTCAAGGATCATGACAAGGAAGCAACATCTAAAAAGGAGTTTGTCAGAGGGGAGGAAAATAGGGGCAGGCTTAGTTATTGGGTGAAGTTGAGATTCCAGCTTGGTAATGCTTTAGCCCCCGTTTAGTTTAGATTCAGAGTATGGCCTCAATTTAAATCTGTTTCATGGTCAGAATTAAATTTTACCTTTTTAAAAAAAAATCAGCTGATCATTTGTTTTTGCTTGTTTTTAAAACATTCTGGAAGCCAATATTCAGACAAACTCAGTGCATTAATTTATACGTTATGATTCCAGCAACTTCCTTAAGTACAAAATATGTGTTGTTCACAACAAAAGCTAAGTGATGCACCATTTTCTCTCCAGAATAATCTTGTGATGCTACCTCTTGCAACCTTCACTGTAGTTACAGTTTGTTTATCCCTAGGGCAGAATGCAGATAGTGAAGTAATGTAGGTTACTTATTTACGTGGATGGGCAAACTGTTGAAGGTGTCTGCTGTACATGGAAAGGCCATTATCTCGTGGAGTAAGCACTCATCTGCCCAAATTGCTCCAGGTTTTGTTGGAGGAGGAGGAGGCTGAAGGGGAACTGATGAGCACACATGTACAGTATATGTTCCTTTGCAGTAAGCCATATCCTGAACCAGCGATGAGAAGAAAACACATTCCAAGAAAAAAAACATTCCTACAGGAGGCCTGGAGTTGCCTGAAAAGTGTCCAATTCTGGTCATTATGACAGTGGGCAAATTATTTTAGTACCTGCAGGCTTGAGAGTGTTCAACTGCAAACTTGAGTAACAATTTTAAACTTTTAGTTTTGCGATCAGATATCAAGAATAGAGAGTCTACTTCAAAGCATTTCCTTATTCATTTTTTTTTCTCACAAGGAATGCAGCTTTATAACATCAGAAATCATGGGAGTAACCCCTCCCCAATAAATTATGTGTGTTTGTGTTTTAACATTCCACATCCTTTCCATCACACCTAATAATTAGCAACGTTTAGCTAAAAACAGCAATAGTTTGAACAGTGTAGATTTGTAACTGCCTGTCCAAATAAAGAATTCTTCAATTGCTGATAAAAGCTAGGCAGAATAAAGGAAATAATATAATGGATGCCCCAGAACAAGAAAATCAGCTCTTCTGTCTGGTGAATTTTCCCTTAGAAAAGAAAAGGCACCGAGGGAGGTGCCCATCAACTATTCTTATACCCATTCTGACAAAAAAAAAAAAAAAAAAAACCCACCCATTTGGAAGAATAATTTTGCAGGACTGTGGCATTCACTTAATGACCACAGTGATTCACTTCACCGCCACACACCAAAAAATGTCATAAAACTGAGTCTGGTCAGTGGGTGCCTCGATTTACAACCGTAGCGGCTTACGGTTGAAAATCTAGTCCCATTTACAGTTACTGATAATATTACAAGGTATCGCTGCCATTTCATTTTTCTGTGCACTCACATTAGAAAAGCGTGTGCTATGCTTCCTGACAAAGTCCATTGATCCCGCTCAAACCTTAAACATTTAAAGTTCAATTTAGCATTTAGGGAATAAAAATCTCCAAAGGGACTCATAGCCATTGATTTTGTGTCAGGGTTGAAGAGCTAAAGTTTTAAGTCATGCTACTGCTGCTCTTGCTGTTGCTGTACTGCAGGGCAGGGAGAACTCTGCTGCGCTACCAGGTGTGGTGGCTTATTACTCATTTTCTTTCTCTTGTTGGCTTTTTTTTTCTCTCTTCCCCCCCTCCCCCCTCCCAAAAGAGGTGACAATAAAAGCACTTAAAGAGAAAATTCGGGAATATGAGCAGACCCTGAAGAATCAAGCAGAGAACATTGCTCTTGAAAAAGAACAAAAGTTGCAAAATGACTTTGCTGAGAAAGAAAGGTACGATAACATACATGTGCACACAAATAAACAGCGGCTGTTGCTTGGTGGTATGGCACCAGCTGGCAATGGATTAAAATACACCCACCCACTCTGGTCCTTTCCACCCCTTCCCCCTATCCTTTTTTTAAAATCTGAGTCTGACTTTAGCATCTCAAATAGGGTGTGAAATCAGTATGTATATCTCCATCTAGTATTATTGTTGCTAATGTGACTATTATAATTACCATATGTAGCATCTTTGACATCTTTTGAATATTCTGAGCATTTGATAGAAACACTCCTAAGATATGAATAAAATACAAAATTTGACAAGGCAGCAGAAGCCCAGAGTTCAGGCAACCCATAAATCAAATACATAAGTAAATAATCAACCAGCAAACAATTATATTACATTTGAAAACTTTGGTAAATTACCACATTTCAAAAAGTGAAGTTTGAATATGTTGGGAAACATAATTTCTGGAAATTCGTTCTAAAGCTGCCCCAGCCCCTATTTTATCTTCATGTCCTGAGTGAGGATCCAGGATCTTTGGTTTAAATGTTTGTAAATCAGCTGGCTGTAGCTCAGTATCAGGGCATAAATGTTTGTCAAATTAACTCTGTTACCCTGAGCTACAAGCAAACTGAACCTTACTTTTATGTGATGGCCTCTTTGCCTATCCAGGCAACCAGCTTCTCCCACTTAATTGCTTGGCCATTAAGATTTCATGTTGAACTCCTGTGAGAGATGGGTGGCACATTGAGATGGGTGGCACATTGAGATGGCCTCATAATAAATGCCAAATGATGTGGAATTTCTACACAGTAAATCTGGTGGAACATTTTGAAAGCTTGAGCTAAAGTGCGAACAATGCCTCTGAACTGGCTCTACTTTTGGTTGTTCAGAGCAACCCAATTTTAAAAAGAGAAGAACTCACCAGTATAGATCAGTGCAACTTTTTCAGATGCAGGGCTCATTGCACTGACTGGCATGCGAAAGGCTGAATGCCCAATGCCAAAACAAAGAAGTAGGCAGAATGGGGACGAAAACTGAACATTATTTAAACTTTTGGTGGAACACAATGAAATACAATTTAATATAAGTACATGAATGTTGCAATTTTCCACTTCTGCCTTATTCAAAATTAAAATTTCAACAAGGTGCTCCGGGAGAGTAGCCAAAACATTTGAGGACATTATGTCTCAAGTTGTGTGCCCTTCCTCTATTGCCCATGGGCCATTTCTATGGGCTTTTTGCCCCTTTGGTTAACTTCTTCTACATGGATTTATCATGAGAGTCTTTTACAGAAGCAGTGAGAAAATATGCTGGTGTAGGCTTTCATGATGGCATGAATGAAACAGTGGTGACTATAAGCTATGCTGGCTGGAGAATTCTGGGAGTTGAAGTCCACAAGTCTTAAAGCTGCCAAGTTTGAAGACCTCTGCTATAAGGGCTGAAAGCCCATTGCCTATTTTTCTAGACTGCATCCATTCAGCCCAAAAGCTCATCACTGCTCCAAGAGAACATTGTAAGGTGTACTCGGAGAAGATAGCTTGTTATTAGAAAACAAAAAATTGTGTCGCATAATGCACTCATAATTCATAAGTTCCATCCAAAGTTTACTTTCTTCCAACTAAGGCAGGGTGTCAAACACCCAACAACACATCGTCCCATGACATATCACAACTTTTCCCCACTTTGCTAAACCAGGGATGGGCGTGGCCAGCGCATGACGCATTTGGGCCGCGAGTTTGATACCCCTGAACTAAGGGATTCATGTTCCCCCAGTAGGAGGATTCCTTTGTGGTACCCCCATGTGTGAAACTGTGTTTATTATTTATTCTAAACACGCCCCCACACACACCAATGTATCCTACAAGAATTGAGCATATTTTCTGTTTCTTGGTGTTAATGTAGTTCTCTGTTTACAGAATGTTGCAAGAGACGCAAATCTCAACGGCCTCAAAGCTGGAGGAAGCCGAACACAAACTGCAGACGTTACAAACAGGTTGGCTGGTTTCCCCCCTTCTGTGACTGATAACGATGGAGAAAAATAAGGGAGTGGGTAGGCTTGGGAATTCATCCATGCAAGGGCTGCTTTAACTTTTCAGCCTGGAGCATCCTTAATACTAATACATTTTGAACCTGGTATAGAAGCTGGTTGATCAATGTTCATTAAAGGTTTAAAAAATATATGAGGTAAACGTCATATTCTAAAACCATTCTTATTAAAATCTAAGAAGGAGAAATGAAATGAGGACTTGGGGATGAGAGCATTTGGATCCACAGCACATTGCTTATTTTTTAGGTGTGACTTAAGAGCTGTTAAGAACTATTCCCCAGCAAACTGGCTAGGGAATTCTGGGAATTATTTTTTTTAATTTTATTTATATGCCTCCCTTCTCCGGAGACTCAGAGCGGCTTACAGTGCGTTAAGCAATAGCCTTCATACTTTTGTATATATTATACAAAGTCAGCTTATTGCCCCCACAAACTGGGTCCTCAATTTACCTACCTTAGAAAGGATGGAAGGCTGAGTCAACCTTGAGCCTGGCAAGATTCGAACTTACTTTAATTGCAGACAGCTGGTGTTAAATTGCAGTGCCTTGTCTGCAGAGCTATCCAGGCTCCTTTGAATTGAAGTCTCCTCATCTTCAAGTTACCAAGCTTGAAGAGACACTGCTGTAGACTTTAGCAGGGATGCTCATCAACATTTCTAGCTACTGCATATGAACAAGAAACTTTTTAAGCAGCTGATGCGGACCACCCATTTGATGGAATGAAAGTGGTTCAAAGATTTAGACCAGGGCTGTCAAACTCTCGGCTAGTGGGCTGGATGCGTCACGTGCTGGCCATGCCCACTCCTGGTTTAGCAAAGGGGAAAAAAGTCCTGATACGTCACGTGACGTGAGTTTGACACCCCTGGTCTAGGCCATTAACATCGTTGAAACAACTTGACCTATCTTTTTGCAGAGTGGAAGTCGTTCTGTTTTCTGCATTCCCAATCGAAATCTTCATGCTGATTGCTGGATGCTTTTAGGGCCAAAGATGAATATGTTACAGCAATGTGTGTTTGTGTATTGCATCCGATTTATGGAAAGAATATAATATAAGGAAAGTATCCCCACATCAGCAAAAATACAATGTGTGAATGTCCATTCAGTAGCAGCAAGTATAAATTTCTTAGTAATGTAATGGTGGTCAGGACTGACAGCCGAATGTTGAAGTCTCAGGTGAGCACTTGAAATCCTTGGAGCCATTAATGGCTTCAGATGGAGAGAGATGTCTTTAACAGTATCTGTCTCATCTCAGGATCACAGAGAAGCTTGGAGTGAGGTGAAAAAGTTATCTGACTTTGCCCTGAGTAGATGCTGTAGAAGGATTTTTCATTCACAAAAGAAATGAATGCCTTTTCTCCTGCTCATCCTTTTCAATCAGGGCTTGTTTCTAGCTTATCGCCTTTTGCTCGCCTACCAGAGCTGCACTTCTGTCCCCATTTCCTTCCCATCTGAAGTTGAAACAGGTCCCTGGATAACTCTGAACAAGAGGTTCAAGTCACAAGAGCCCATCTATAAACGGCATACAGCTTCACCAAATGAAGCAGAAGAAAAATCTAGAACGTTTTCACCATTCGTGAACAAGAATGGTGGTCGGTTTTGGGTTCTTTGTGCATCTCTGTATATTTTCTAAAGAAAAGAATTCGAAAATGCTTTTAAGCATTGTTTTTCTGCAATGTGATTTTGTTTGGTCAGGGAGAAGGCTTAATGTAAGATGACTTTTCAGAAAGAGAACAGTTCATAGCTCAGTAGTAATTGAGTAGCTGCTGCTGCTTTTTAAAAAAAACATTTCTTTTTTCTTCTCCATCCTTTAGCCTTGGAAAAAACACAGACAGAATTATTTGACCTGAAGACAAAATACGATGAGGAAATGACAGCAAAGTAAGATCTTTCAACTCCTCTTCAGCACATATGACTTGTGTTAACCTTCTTCTGCCTCTGAGGGCAAGGATAAATACAGATAGTCCTTGAGTTACAACAGTAATCGGACCCGGAATTTCTGGTCACTAAATGTGCTCATAAAGCATGACTTAACGTGATTGCACTGTTTAGCGATAGCAATCCTGGCACTCCCCATTGCTGTTGTTAGCCAAATTCCACTTGTCATTTGCCAAGGATCCATTCCAATTCCAGACTTGGTTTATCCCAGCCCCAAGCCTCAGTTTTTGTTCAATTCTGGGAGTTGAAGTCCATGTATCTTAAAATTGCCAAGGTTGAGAAACATGATCTATACACAATCTTGTCCTGATTGAGTGTCTGGGGGGAAAACATGGATAAGATCAATGTAATGTTTTTTCCCTAGAACCCCTCATGAAATGTCTGGGAAGAGAGATTCTTAGTCATCCAGGTCATAGTTGACTCAAAGGTGCTTTTTCAAAAGGCAACTGGACTGTTTTTTCCTTGAAGAAGAAGAAGAAAAAAAGATGTTTCACTTCTACTTCACCAGCTCAGTTCATTGATTCAGAACCGATGAAGCTTCTTGGATGAGAAGCGAAATGCCTTCTTTTTCTTCCTCAAGGAAAAAACCAATCCAGTTGCTTTTTGAAAAAAGCACCTTTTAATCAACTCTTTTGAAAGGAAACTAAGTGCGATGACATGAGTCTTGCTGCAGTAGAGAAGATGTGGCCCCTCGGAGAACCATTACAAAGTTTCTGTAAAACAGGTGGCAGCCAAAACAGCTAACCCAGTTGCGTTATTTCCGGGCCCCATTTTCATTTTACCCTGATCTTTGAGTTAACAGTTCTCCCAGGAAAGCAGTTCAGTATAGCTCTATATAAAGGGGATGTGGTGGCTCAGTAGCTAAGATGCTGAGCTTATCATTCAAAAGGTCGGCAGTTCGAATCCCTAGCGCTGCGTAACGGGGTAAGCTCCCATTACTTGTCCCAGCTTCTGCCAACCTAGCAGTTCGAAAGCATGTAAAAAATGCAAGTAGAAAAATAGGGACCACCTTTGGTGGGAAGGTAACAGCGTTCCATGTGCCTTTGGCGTTTAGTCATGCTGGCCACATGACTACGGAGACGTCTTCGGACAGCACTGGCTATGTGCGAGGGGAATCTTTACCTTTACCTTATAGCTCTATATGTGCTTACTGATTTGCTCGTTGAGACCAGCTTTTCCCAAAGTGCTGGATGACGACTCGAATCATTGGCTGCGCACGTATGAGAGAATGAGTGATGAGACCTATTCTCCGGCACATCTGGAGGTTTACACCATTTGTAGCCACTGTGTCTCTCCCATCTGCCAGCCTTCAATAAAAGAAAAATTGATTGTGGTTTTAATTCTTGAGTGCATAATGAGTCGGGGTAAAATTTGTGTTTGGGGGTGGACTTGCATAATGGAGAGTGTATTAGAGATGTCAGCGTTTGAAGGATGCTGTTCCCTTTCAGGTTTTTTGTCAGAAATTGAGCAGACAGGTTCTTCAAATGAGAGGAACAAAAGAAGCAGCTAACCTCCCGACAGGACAGCTGCAACAGCAAAATGCCTTAATTTCTATGGAGCCCAGGCAGGGCAATGACATCAGGCCTATGTTAAACTCTTCTACGAATCCTTTGCAGTATATAAGTATTGGGAAAGTATTCTTGGAAATGTTGCAAATGAGGGATTGTACACTGGCCTTTTGTCGCCTGCAGGAATGAGAAGCTGTTAGTGACTTTACCCCCTCTCCCCTTTTTAAAAATGTTTTTTATAGGATCGCTTCCAGTTTTGGAATTGGTATTCAGAACAGTTCCAGGACAATCCATCCCCCGTTTTGAGATTTGAAATTTAAACCAAAAAAATTAAAAAGTAGAGAAGATACAATGGCAAGGGGCTGGGCTGTTTTCTTAAACGGTTATTTTACTATCCAGATAGAAAACTGCCAGATAGAAAACTTGAGGATTTATTTTTTTGTAGGGATATTTAAAGATGCTTTTATTTCAGTTTTGTGAGCACCCTAAGGTGAAAAGCAGAATAAAAACTCTGAACTCTAGCAGAGCTGTTGGGGAGAATTTTTTCTAAAATGAAAATGATGGTTATGAGTTCAACCGTGTGCAATTATATGACACTTTAGAAATTTTGGGATGCGCAGTTCACAGCCCCCAAAGCTTGGATATGATTCCAAGAAGCCTAAGCTGCTGACTAGTCATTTTAATGTGCTCAGGGTGAAAAATTAATAAAATATTATGCCTATTTAATTTTTACCTTTTGGGCTTATTCACCCACTTGTAGCACTATGGTCTCTGATCCCAAGCAGCTCTCAGCTGAAACATAGCTACATGTGTCTGTTTATATATGGTGTGTGTATATGTATATGTGTGTATATATATATATACACACATATACATATATGTGTGTGTGTGTGTGTGTGTGTGTGTGTGTTTTAAGCACATATGATGGTATTAGCCTACACCCTTTCCTCTCTCCCTGTTTTAATTTTCAGGCTGTGTGAGGGCTGGGGCAAGTTTTCATTCTCCATGTAATTTAGTAGCACATCACAGAAATAGTAGATAATTTTAAAGAACAACAACAACAAACAACAACAACAACAATAATAATAACAACTGGAGAAGATAACAAACTACAAAGACCTGTAAATAGAACGACTGTGGCAAAAGAAAGTAAAGATAGCGCCAGTAGTAATAGACTCCTTGGGTGCAATCCCAAAACAACTGGAGCATATTTGGCATTGATAAAATCACCCATTGATCAATTACAAAAGGCAACTTTGCTTGGAATAACTTATATCCTACGACAATCCTCAGTTTAACACCCTCAAACAAAATACCTGCCTATCCTAGGTTCTTGGGAAGGACTCGATAGCTGGATAAAAATGTCAAATGCAGTCTAAACATCTGGCTGACTGCGTGATGGACCAGTAATAATACTTTTGGTATCTTTGTTGATATATACTAGCAATTAAGATTTTCGCTGTTGTGCTAGGCCTTTGACCTTTTTAATTCCCAATTATGTTGAACATGTTTTTTTTTTTAATCCCTTATTCAGTAAACCAATTCATGGCCTAAATATGCAATATTAACTGCTTACTAGAAAACAATACCCTCCTCCTGCTCTTTATGATGATTGTTATTCATAATTATTTTGTTATTATTTAACAATACCTGTGAACAAACTCTTGCCAGCTGTCCCCCCGTCTCTAGAAATGAAGGTGTTAATGGCCAAAATAAAATGGCTTTCCAGCATGTCAGCTGGGTTCTCAGAAGCTGAAATCGACAAGACGCCATCAGTAAAGTTTTCCATGTGTAGGCTTGAAATAAAATGTAATTAGGGCTTTATGTGCAGAACAAGGGTCCATTGATGACTACAGCTGGTCTTTGTTTTCTTCCGTCACTGAGTGTGGGAGGTAAAAAAAGTGGTCCTCTTCATGTTTATTAATGCAGGATTCCTGAGACAAATGGCAAGCACAGTTTAATGTTTGTTGGAACATGGAGGGGCTTGCCAAAACAGTTGTGTAAGAGAATTTCAAGGTTTTCAGATTGCGGCTGTTCCTGAATTAAAAAATCAGATGGTGGAGCTGTATGTTTCCATACCGGAGGCAAGCTGAGCAGGAGAAAGGGGTAGCAGAAAGGGGTGACTGTTTAGAGCAGTGTTTCCCAACCTTGGCCACTCGAAGATGGGTGGACTTCAACTCTCAGAATGCTGGCTGGTAAACTCTGGGAGTTGAAGTCCGTACATCTTCAAGGGCCAAGGTTGAGAAACACTGGCTTAGAGGAACCGAGAGTTATAAGGAGAGTTGGCACCAAATTGATGTGAAGAGTGAACCAGAAAGGGAGAGATACGGCTGATTTGATTTCCAGACAATGGACAGACAATTGCTCAACTGGCAATCAATTTTGCAGGCAGAAGAATCCAGGTTTAATCTTGACATCTCAAGAAGTAATCAAGAAAGACCATTCTTTGACTCAGACTTTGCAGCACTTTACTTGGTCAAAATACGGGTAGACCTTGACTTACAACCACAATTGAGCCCAAAATTTCTGTTGCTAAGTGGATTTTACCCGATTTTACGACCTTTCATGCCACGGTTGTTATGTGAATCACTGCAGTTGTTAAATTGGTAACATGGTTGTTAAGTGGATCTGGCTTCCCCAGATGCTTGTCAGAAGGTCACAAAAGGAGATCACATGACCCTGGGACACTGCAACCTTCATAAATATGAATCAGTTGCCAAGTATCTGGTTTGATCACGTGACCATGGGAATGTCACAATAGTCATAAATGTGAAAAATGGTCATAAGTCACTTTTTCAGTGCTGTTGTAACATTGAATAGTCACTAAATAAATTGTTGTAAGTTGAGTACTACCTGTAGACAGTAGGTGGGATACATGGGCTGATTTCCAAGCGAAACATCATAGATCAGGGATCAGCTACCTTTTCAATAAATGAAATGGCTTTTCAGTGCAAATGAAATGGATTTTCAATGCAAAGTTTTCTGAATGGCTGCCATTCAGTTACAAACCCTGCAGATTAAGGATGATCAACATATGGGTAAACCATTCATTACTCCTGACTGCACTCATTCTAGAGAACACAGCTCAATATTTGGAACATTTATCTTAACTATGAATCTTTTTCATGGATTTTGTATGAAATAATTTCTCTTTTCTTTGAAATGTTTTATAGTGGTACCTCAATACCTGTCATTAATTGGTTCCAAGAGGCACGATGAGTCCCAAAAATGATTTTTCCCATAAGGAATAAAGCATTAGTCATGAAGTAACCGACAGTGACAATTTCTAGCTTGCATGTCGAGTACCAAACAAATGACGAGTACTGGGACAAAATCTTTGTGTTAGAGTGCATCGGATACCAAATTTGACGAGTTTCAAAGCAGTCGAGTACCATGACACTAGTGTATTTACAGTACTCCAGTGCAGTATTGAGG